CCCCCCCGGACCGCCACGCCCAGGCCCCCCCCGTAGCTAGCTGATACACACACACACACACACGCGCGCGCGCACACACACTGACTCTAGTTCTAGAGCTATCTCTGTGGGAAATGCTATCCCCCGGGCGTGGAGGGACAGTACCGCAATGTGGCAGCACTAGTGTTAGGATCAGGGTTAGGGTTAGGATTAGGGTTAGGGTTAGGGTTAGTGATATAAGGCCATGTCTAGTACGGAGGTATGACTGTGGAATCTTTCTGTGGAAGATTTGAACTTTGAAGTATACGTCAACTGTATCACGTGACTGTCCCTCCACGCCCGGGGGATAGCAACACCCTATCTCTGTCACAGCGCCGTTGCTTATGTATATGATAGAACGTAACCTAGCAACTGCAACACATGTTTGTAGTTATCTGCCAGCTGACTGCCTGCTGTCCTCCGCTATTTAGCGGAGGCATAGCGGAGCGTTCGTGAAACAGGAGTTGTCCGTTCGCTAAGTTCTCCGTTATGCCTCCGTTCGCTAATCAGCGAACGGGCAACATAGCGGAGAACTTTAGCGGAGTTTTGTGAAACGCGCCCCAGTGAAATAGGCGAACCCCCCACACCACCCCCAAGTAAAAAGTTGGCTACGGGCGTCTGTAGTCTGAATACGACAACATGAGTAATATATCACGCTTGCTTTCTATAGTCTGAACGGTACAATGTGGAATGGAGTAGAGAAGTAACTGTTGCTTTCTAATATCACGAACGCTACATGTAATAGAATAACGTATCATCATGTATGCTTTCTAATCTAATACGAATGCCAGTTATCATAAAGTAATGTATATCATTTACTTTCTAATGTAGTATGACATGAATGTTACAAAATTGAATAGAACATAGACACAATTTATATCATTTGCTTTCCCATGTATTTTGAATGCTACAACATGGAATAGAATACACAAATATCATTTGCTTTCCCATGTATTTTGAACGCCACGATATGGAATATAGCAACAGCTCAGCTTGGCTTTCTGATGTTGTCTGAACGTCTATGTAACGGTGTCACCCTCGAAATAAAATGTACAATTCATTCGTAAAGCGTCGTGCCGTGTCTAACCGTATACCGAATCGAAAACAAGAGAACGGCATGTCCATATCTCGCAGTGCCGCCGCACCTTTATTGATTAACACAAGCTACCAACCGCGTATCCCACCCACCATCGCCGCGCATGCAATACGCACTACATCATAATACTAGCACACGGCTAGACAACTGCCAACTGATCACTACGTCTACGGACCGTCAGACAATGGTCTCCGTCGACTGGTGAGCGTTAACGTCCGCGCAAAAAACACACACGAATAAACGGCGAAAAACTAAAGATGGCCGCACGCGCTGCCGTCGCCATGGCAAAAACGCGCGCAAAAAAAACCCACACGACTTGACACATACAGACCGCGTAAAGTCACTCGATTAACTCGCGTGGAGAGAGTACATTCAAGCAAAACAGCGACGTACCATAATTTAATGTTATCCCCCCCTCCCTCCCCCCCGCGCTTACCCCCCCCCCCCCCGCGCTTACTCACTGCCGTCCCACATGAATCTCTCATAGTTCGAAATTACAATACGATATAAATTGCATCACAGACGCGACCGTCGCTGTCGCGGGCACTCCGGGGTCAAAGGTCGCCACCGCGGGCACTCCGGGGCCAAAGGTCGCCACCACGGCCACTTGGGGTCAAAGGTTGCAGTCCCAGCGGGCTACCCTGTCGATGACCACCTAGACTCAATGACGCCGGTTACCGTACCGATGGCCTCGTAGAGCCGCCGCTGGAGCTCAAAGAGATCGCTATCAGACAGTGTCGCCGCCCTGGTGGGGAGTTCTCGTAGATGGGCGGACAGCTCCGTGACTCGATCGGTCAGCAGCTGGTCGGCTGTGGTCTGTGGTGTGGACTCCGTGGAAGTCGGGTGCTCGTCTAAATAAAATGCCCAACAAACAACATCAGGGCACGCTGGAGGTATTCACGGGCGACGAGTTTTCGTACACGCGCACACATGCATTTAGGCACACACGCACGCACGTAGGCATTTAGGCACACACGCACGCACGTAGGCACGCGCGCACGCATGCATTTAGGCACACACGCACGCACGTAGGCACGCACGCACGCACGTAGGCACGCGCGCACGCATGTATTTAGGCACACACGCACGCACGTCGACGTACACGCGCACGCATGCATTTAGGCACACACGCACGCACGTCGACGTACACGCGCACGCATGCATTTAGGCACACACGCACGCACGTCGACGTACAC